GGAGATTATTGGAGAAAAAAATGATAATGGAATGCAATTTATCATAATTCATTAATTAAAGATATCATTGATTTAATATGCAGAGTATAATCAATACATCAAATATGATTGCAAAAAACTGACGATTATTAATTCAATAATCGCGATACAGGACAATACCGATAATATTCTATAATTCTGCAATATCCGGGACAGGAAAAAAAGTATTAGCTATGAGAAATATCGAGGTGATTTCAATCGAAGGCCACGATCAGACTCTAAGCAGACAGAAGTGCATTAATAAATCAGCAACGACTCGTTTATAGTCTACCATATTTTCTCGAGAAGTGATAACTTTGAACAAAGGGAAAAATTAGAAGAAATTGAGTGGCGTGACGAAGGACAAGATCAGAACGTTGTATTATTTTACAAATCGTTCTATTGCGTGCTGGAATTGTTGCACATCGATCGTTTTGCGAAATTGAGTTATATTATAAATGACGTACAATAGTCGTTTCTACCAACCGATATTTATTTTCGCATTTTTGTGTCATAAGTGGTACAATACAATATTTAAGAATCTTACGTCTTTCTGATCAAATCTTTATTAGATCCTAATCACTTAGGTTCAGAATTACTTAATAATTACTTGAAAACTTGGCGAGTGAGGAAAATATATTTTTCTTGAACAATTTCAAAAGTTTTATCTTATTCAAACATTTTTAACAATTTTTAATAATTGTTATCGATTATGTTATCTATATATAGATATAATTTTTTAACGATAATCGATCTGTCAAGTTGTAATTTATTTATTGATCGATATCAATTACAAGTTGGGCATAAATATTTTTATCGTAATTATCATACGTCGAAGAGATCTCGATTGAATCGAATCGTTCGACGGATTTCGATAGTCGATACTTATCGCAAAATTCTTTCTATGAAGCTAGTAATGATTTGCTTTGAGTTCACGTATTTATCCGTGTAATTTTAGAGAATGATGTAAAGTAGATGTAAATTAAGGTAAAAGATAAAGATGGAAATGGAAAACGAGATATTTGAGAATGAACGATGATATCTTTCAAATCGTCCGATTCCCTTCCCTTAACCTTAAAAATCAACTAACCTAACATTTCTAGTACGTTCTCGTAAAATGTAGATGCAGATTGATCGAAGGTAATTCTATTTCGAGACTTAGGTTTAATGTTGTTTATTAAAATATGATGCTATTTTAAGATCTTCTGGCACACGCCTATTATAACTACCTTGAAATTCTTCCTCGGCACAAGGAAACAAATATACTGATAAAATTGGATTTGCAGTATACGATGGCTAAATAAGGAAAGAAATAAAACAAGATGATAATCGTAATTCTAAAAACGCGTTTCGTGTCCACTATTATCTTCCATTCTTTACAAACTACTCTCCGATTACATTTTTTGATCGAATCACACGGTTGATAAAACCTTTTCGTAAATTCAGGGACAAGATCGATCGGAAAATTAAAGTTCCAAACACGATAATTCTCTTCCGCGATAGAATAAAGAGAGAACACTTTCCTTTCTACGTTTGGCCGACCATTTGTGCTTCAATCCGCATGCCTTCGATTAACAACCAATGCCATCGAAATTCCTCGGTCAAAGAAACGGTAAATGAGAGAGGTAAAGGAACGTTCAAAACATCCATACCGAAAAGAGAATTGTTTAAAATATGAAAATTTGTATTCATCAAAAACCCATTCGTCGCGAAAATATATTCATCAAAAAAAAAAAAAAAAAAAGAAGAAAAAAAGCGACGCTTATTTTAAACTAAAAATTTGTCACCAAAAATATCAAATGCGTATTTTGGCACGGTTTTATTCTCACTCAGCCTTGAACCCTTCTATTCGAATGATTCATTCTGCGAGATTACATAAAGTTTTTCAATTCTATAAAGTAGAATTGATGAAATGAACGGGTACACGCATGATTCAATAACCTAACCTAAATCTTAACACAAGCCTATTTATTTTATATTCAGTCGTTTTAATTGACGAGATAATTCAATAATTCACAAGATATTAATAAATTCTAGAAAAAAGTACTTTTTAAAAAAAGTATTACTTATTTTTTTACATTGTCTGTTGATAGGTTAACGTTGAAAAAGATCGTAATCTACATGACGTCAGTATTTATCGTAGAGGAAACTAAGCAGTGTCCTCCCAGTACATATTTTTCGGATAAATGCTTTCTTATTCTTATTCGAAATAATTTCCTTCATACAAAATAAAGATATCCATACTATTCTAAATATTAATCAATTTATAAAAATCTTCTTATTATTAAGTATCTAATTACTAAATATCTAACAAACCTGTTACAGATTCTTAATTAATTAATGCAAAACAACAACTTGAAAAGTATTATAAAACGCTCGTTAAAGACGTTACTTACCGAACATAGACACGACAAGTAGAATTATTTACACGGCGATCGCTGATAAGCCTCCGATGATCCTCGAAATAATCCTTCAACGCCGTCACGCCGAGCACAAAAATGATGGGTATCACGGAAATCTCTTTGCCGAAGGCATTTATGACTGGCACCCAATTAAGCAGAACGATAAATACAAAATATATATTGGCCACACGGCGGAATTGTTCGAAAAAATTGCGAGGTAGGAAGCTCAGCAAGGTGTACTTTGTCGTACGTACTCTGAAAGCATGTCGAATAAACCGGAATTCAAGTATGACAAGTATGTACAATTTTCACTTTCGTCTCCGAGTAGACTACGACTTTTCGCCAACGTATAAAACGAGGAAGGAAGTAAGCATTTAAATGATAATTTACCTGTTATTCACTCTCTTGCCATTGGGATGTTGACTCGGTGGTGTTTTCGGCGGCACTAAATGATTCGGTACTATTGTCCTTAAACGAGGTTCCTCTGGTAACGGACCAAAGTAACGAGCCCAAAGTTTTCTCCACCAAGGAGGTTCGGCGCTACGTCTTATCGTGTATATCGACTCTGATCTATAAATAACACGCAAGATAAAAAAGAACGATGACGATGAGATATTTAAAAAATAAATAGTAATGCACGCTTTCACAAGTAAAAATTAGATCACAGATAATGCGTTGAACCGTCGGTAATGGTAGAAAGAAAATCGCTCGGTAAGTAAGGAATATATAACCGAACAAATACGACCAATATTCACAATGTTTTACAGTTTTAAACTTGCGGTATTATCGCGAAATGCTGCGAACTTTGGGCGAGCTACGTGATCACAATAAAAATGGTATACATACTAATCGCTCTCTCTCTTTCTCTCCGGATAATAAAAAAAGAAGTTATTTTTGAACGTTTAACCGAATTACAGCGACCAGTCGATCCGTCGGACGATACTAAGACGAGTAGATCCATTTTGACTGGATCAACGAAGATGGATCTATGGAAGGATTACTTAAAAACATCGTACGTTCGAGGCGGAAATACGATACCTGGACGCTTGTCGCGAATGGCCCCTGAAAGAGGGCACTTTCCCAGCTGTGGGCGGCTTCGAATCCTCCTTGTGGCCAGGGGGAAGTATAAAATCCGTTTTCGACCCGACACGGCTGTGCCCCGTGACCGAGTGCCCCTGAACGTCGACCACCTGACCCTGGCTGAACGCTCTCTGGTGGCCGGGCTTCTTCAAGGCCGAGGGCCTCGCGCCGCCATCGATCTGGGACAAAGGGCCCATACGATGGGACCCGTAGGCGTAAGGCTGGAATCCTGTCAAGCATTCCGCCAACATTCCACCGTGGCTTGCCGATCTCGCGTGGGTCCTCGGGAACGGCCTCCGCCTGCCTCGCCCACCGAGATCCTCGTCGACCACGGCGGCGTTCTCGTTCTCGGTCTTCCCCTTTGCGAGCGTCGCGCTCGTGGGCGCGGGGACGATGGAGGCCGGAGCATCGGGTACAGCCGTGGCGGCCACCGACTGTGCCGACTGAGTCGTCGAAGCGGTGTAATGTTGGCAACCCGGGAACACGTAAACTGACGCCTGCCTGTCGATCTTGTTGCTCGCTGCTTCTGGCGTACCGGCTTCGGACATGCTGGCACATCTGCCGACAAGTTACCAAGAATAAGTGTTATCTGTTATGTTCAGGGACGACGAATGTGCGGGGAACGAGCATTGTTCGAATCTTGCTTCGATGAAAATAACGCCGAGGCAGAAAAAATACGCAGAGTGTAAATAATTGAAGGAAGGAAAAATTGACGGTCGATTCTTTTTTTTTTTTGCATCGTTGAAATTTTCCGAAAAAATGAAATTCGATATAATGATGATAATTTATTCGAAGAAAGAGGGACGGGGAGGGGTGGAGAGGAGAGATAACTGTAAAGGATTTGCAGGAAATGACGCGATACCATTTCCAATCTAATTGTACTGCTCTCTCCTTGTCGCGAGTGCGCTTGCACTTAGGCCAACATAGATGTACTGCTATTAATAAGATTGTAAAAAGAAAAAAAAGTTTATCGAGCAAATACAACGCAAATCGATCGATTAAAGTCGTCGATAGTGCTTCTGAAAATTTTACAAAATGCAAAACGTTAATCATCTTATACTAAATAATCCAATAGTATTTTTCACAAGATCGGCTTTATATTGTTCCGTCTGTCAAACCTTGGAGACTTCGATGTAATAGTAAAAAAAAAAAAAAAAAAAAAAGAAAATACGAGGGAAAAAAAATGAATCGAAATCTCCGGAAACGATTCGAAAAAGTAAGATTTATTCGCGATGCCCTCTCCTCTTCTCCTCTTTCTTATTGTTCTCGTTTAATATACTAATCTAAAACAAGCAAATACTAATCCCATAATTGTACCGTTAATAATCCAAAAATCCGTTTCAACAAAAATGATATATGTTTCTTGATAAGTTTTAAAACGAATTCAATAATTCTAATAACGTCTGTAAGATACCAAAAAAAAAAAAAAAAGAAGTCAGAGAAGTCAGGCTGAAGCGAAATCGACGGACGATTCAGTCAGCAATCGGTCGACTTTTTTCCTTTTTTTTAATTTTACGCAATATCAAGCTCTTGTTCCTTTCTCTTCGCAACCGCATTTGTACTACCGATGAATACGTGTAAATTTCTATGTTCGAAAACCTATCAATTGTCAACTATGTGTTTATGAAGACTAACGAAAATGCTCTCTCGATTTCGCACCTATTTGCTCTTCCTCTTTTTATCATCGTACGAACTTCGCGAACTAGACTTCAAAAAATTATTTAAAAATTAGATCAATATAAGCATATTTTTTATAGAGATTTTAAAGAGAAAACAAATAATTAAAAAAGAAAAAAAATCGATAGATAAAAAAATACCTCGAGATAAATTGCATTGGCACGAATTGTATTAATTGTATTTAATTTAGAAACGATGATAGCCACAATTGTGCAGAATTACATTATCGGGAAGTGATCCAAGACTGAACGAACCTTCTTCGATGTCATCATCGAATGGAAATTTATTTCAAAAATAATCTCGAGGAAAAGGATTTAAAAGATAAAGATACTAGACTCGAACAAGACGTCAAAAGTTAAAATAATCAATTTGCTATTTCGATGATACCTCGATTGTTTTCGAGGCTAATATTCCAAGGCCGTGGCAAGATTTTATCACGTAAGAATTGGCTCGAATACCTGGTACCTTTGAACCAGAAACTTGATACGATCGAAACGAAAGAATACACAAAGATACCGAGTTGCTCATCGACGGTCATAGAAAACGAACTTGTTTGCCGTGCACGTAAACCAAAGGATTCCGTTGGTGATCAATAACAGTTACATAGTGTCGACGTAAATCTCTCTCGAGTTCTATACGGGTAATATCAAGGGTAGAAAAGTTGAAGAATGAAATTGGGTCAAGCGAATATCTATGCTTCATAAAACCATAGCAGGATTTTTACCTGTTTCGAACGCAAAATATAAAATGACGATACGTACGTACGCTTCGAATAATGATTTCGAATTGTTTATCGCTTATCATTTGTTAACTTAATGATAGAAAAAATAATAATTCCTTTATCAGTCGAACCTGATATCGGGTTTACTTTAATATAAGTACACGTAAAAGCTATCGTAGCTATCGTTTATACCACGATGGATTTCGAATCCGTTAACATTATATTTAGCCTAACGAAAGCTTTTCGCCGAAAAGGAAACATTAATGATAGGAAACATTAGCAATATTTACGATAAGAGGAAAGCATTCACGTTTAATAAACATTGTAAATAACGAGCAAAAGATAAACAACGCGTACACGCCCAAGGTAAAACGTTAATAATACGCCTTGTTATCTATCGGTCGATTAGTTTCAGATAGCAACTCACCACTCGCCAAATGGACTACAATCTAATACGCAAAAATGCGATATATTTTCCATGCATTTACTCGATGCCCTACACGTTTCGAATTTCATCGATCAAGTTCATCTTTTTAACTTGCGAATATCGAACAAATTTATTTTAATTCTGTCGCGGCACTCTTCTATTTTGTCAATGCAAAAGCAACGTCAGCAACGTTCTACGCGTTCTTTCATGTGCACCAGAATTTCCGTACGAGCGAATCATTCGCACTATATATATATATATATATATATATTTTCTCTTGGACGGATAACGAAACAGGGATGAAACTTATTTCTTTTTTCACTTTAGAAAACTATTCAGGAATACTCAGAGTAAGCGTAACCGGTTTTGTGACCAGAGACTACGACCGTCGGTCACTTTGAAAAAAAACTACAACCGATTCCCGAAAGTAACTTCGATCCATATTCGACAATATAACATACACAAACATATTGGAATTAATTGATCGACTTTATCTCTATTATATATATATATATATATATATATATATGTAGGTTTTCAACTTAGAAAAAATAATTAAACGATCGTAACATAACTATTTTATTTTCTTGATTTAATATATTTAATATACTTTTTTTCAATTAATTTTATTTTATTCTATCATATCTTAATGTTTCTATCATGGATTTTTTTATCATAAACAATTTAATCGTTCCTGCTTTTCCGGACTATCTCGTTACCGTTTCGCTAGAACGCTTTATACATACTTCCGCATTTTAACTTTCTCATAAAATATAAGTAAATAATAAAAACACAGAATACTGGAAATTATGAAACGCGAAAACAAAATTTCAAATCTCGAATACGATATAAATTATGTCAAACCGTATATGTCTGACAATTGCAGATCGTTTAAGGATTATCTCTAGTTCAACGTTTACCCGAGGATCGCGCTTTTTCATGAAAATTATTCTGAATTTGATGACGTACTAGAAAGTACAATATGCATTTGTTGACATTAACATTAAACATTATGTCGTACAAAAACGAAATAATGAATTGGAAATGTATCATTTTCTGGTAAACATCTCTTATTTTACACAAATATCTTTTCAATTTTAATAGTATACATATCAAGATATATTATCAAAAATTTAAATAAAATTAAATTACATAAAAACGATAATAGGACAAAAAAAATCTAAAACTTACATTTTTCCAAGCTCCCAACGTGGTCCACGTGGCCTTGGTTAACGCTTGTGGAAGCCCAAGGGGTGGCTCACAGTTATCCCCCACGTCCCCGAACTTTTAACACATTGAATATATAACTAAATCGAATCAGGAAAAACAATTTTTACTTACACATGTCTTTTCTTAAAAGAAAAATAACGAATATATTATAATGAAGCGCGTTTCTCAGAGTATTTCTACCGAAATATTAAATTTAATACATATTTACATGTTAAAATATTTAATGCTCAATGAAATAATTTCTATAACAATTACATTGTTCTGTTCACGATCGTCTTGAGAAATACAGAGAGATATTGCAAACACGCTCCTTGTCGCGTCTCGATGCTTATTCGCGTTCCGCGGCAACAAACTGAATGACCTTACTGTCGTGCACGCACTGACAATTCCTATCGGTCGACCTATCAAGTAAAACCGTCACAAGTCGCAACAAGCTTTTTCATTATCGCCATCTACCGTCACAACTTGTTTTCAAATTTTTTAACGTAGAAAATACAAAATCCCTAGTTTTTCAAATCCCTAGAATACAACTTCCGCGATTTTTGAAAGTCATCCTTCATTCGTAATCAGACTTATAATTTTATAATTATTGTTCACATACTTTCAACGAAACAAATACATAATAACAGGTGAATGTTAGTATTCTTATATAGCATAAATTTTTTCATGATTAGCTAATGATTCAATAGACTTACTAATATTTTAAAATTATGAAATCAAAAATAAAATAACAATATGTAAAATTTAAAAATTTGCAATTTTATTATCTGAGAATATCTTTTAATGAATTATTCAATGGGGAATTAGAAAAACCTAGGGAGAGTGTAACGCTGCAGTAACTCCATCAGTAGTAATACCACCATCACCACTACCTTCGTTCTGCCAGCAGCTCCGTCATCGGTAGCAAGCGAAAGAATAAGGTCTTCCGTTCCGGCATAATAGTCGTGCGAGTTGGCAGACGCGCGACCGTGGATTATCTTTTTTCGATTTTTATAGCATTCCCAAGAAAAACTTACAAGAACTTCGTGTTCATACGTTTAGTGCTGTGATCAATTTCTTTACATTTCGACGAATATGAATGAAGAATACGACGCGATCGTGTTAGGCACTGGACTCAAGGAATGCATACTTTCAGGTATGCTGTCGGTCAGTGGAAAGAAAGTGCTCCATGTAGATCGTAATAAATATTACGGCGGTGAATCTGCCTCGATCACGCCTCTGGAGGATTTGTTTGCGTAAGTTATCTCGATGAATAACGTCGATCTATTTCAACGTCAATCAACTATTGCCGGTATTAGATTGGTATTTCAAGTTATAATCGACAACTATATGATACGATGATTCGTCTTAAATATTGATTTTTTCTCCATTTTATTTTACTATCTTTGTTGTCTCTTATTATTTGGTTAAATTTTTCCGTCAAGTGTTGTTCAAAGACAAAACGTGACGTATGTCGTCATCTACAGTGATGCGTCGTTGCTGTGATTACTTCCAAATTTCATCTCTTTCTAAACAATTTTATCGAAAAGTTGGCTAGAATGTTACTCGATAAGAGAAAGGGGAGGGGTCCGCCCCGCGAAATATACGCTCGATCGAATGTAATAAATCGGTTGTTAACTTTCGTAGAGTTAGCTCAACGCACTGTTTCTCTTTAAGATACTTTTTCTTTACCGCTCACTCGTCTATTTCAACCATCTCTCTTCCACACCTACTTTCACATATATATTTTCGTATATCATTTGGAAAAATTATATATATTCATTAAATCATTTTAAATAGAAACACAGAATATATAAAATTAGTTCATTATCAAATATATCTTGTTTAAAAATTAAAAAAAATTAAATATCTAAATATTACCGTTAACTTAAGTTATTTACTATAAAATTCAACATATGGTGTTTGTCTTTTTCTGCACAAACTCAAATTTCAAATAACGGTTGTTTTGATTATTTAAATATTTTTTTTTATTTTTCATGTAAAAAGGATTTTTTTTTATTTAATACTTTTTGAAATCATTTCTTGCAATGTAACAAAAATTTATTATGATATAACGGAACTAAATATCATTTCTACTGTATGTGAAATGAAAAACGATAACATCCGCATGATTGCGCTTCTGGTTCATCGAGAAGACACGGTTATCGTATGTTCGGTTGTAGTCAATAAATTGTAATACGCATCTAAACTACCATCTGTTATAACAGTATATTGTTTGATTGTACTTGTATAATACAATTTAAAGAACATTTGAAAACAATGTTAATATATTTTGACGATTTCTATATCATTTCACACATAATTTTATTTGTTGATAAATTTTAATTTAAAAATTTAAAAAAATAAATGAAAAAATATATTATTTATATATATTTTATTATAGAATATATATTCTTAATTTTATATTTATATCTTGTTTAGGAAATTCAAAGCCCCATCACCGGATGAAACTTATGGTCGTGGTCGCGATTGGAACGTAGATTTAATTCCAAAATTCCTGATGGCAAATGGCTTGTTGGTAAAACTTCTAATTCACACAGGCGTGACGCGTTATTTGGAATTCAAATGCGTTGAAGGATCGTATGTTTATAAATCGGGCAAGATTTCGAAAGTGCCGATTGATCAACAAGAAGCATTATCTAGTGATTTAATGGGTCTTTTCGAAAAAAGACGTTTTCGCAGTTTCCTTATATGGGTGCAAAATATGCAAGAAGATGATCCCAGAACTTGGGACGGCTTCGATCCATTTAATAATAGTATGAGTGCTTTATACAATAAGTTTAATCTTGATAAAAACACTCAAGATTTTACTGGGCATGCACTAGGTCTTTACAGGTAAAAAAAATATAGATACAAATATTATTTTAAAATATATTTTAAAATATCATTGATTGATATTTAATATATTGCATTTGTACTATTTCAGAGATGATGAATATATAAGTCAAAGCGCAATTACTACTATAAGAAGAATTAAATTATATAGCGATAGTTTAGCACGTTATGGAAAATCTCCATATTTGTATCCTATGTATGGTTTGGGTGAACTTCCTCAAGGTTTTGCACGACTTAGTGCCATTTATGGTGGAACATACATGTTAGACAAACCGATTGATGAAATTGTAATGAAGGATGGAAAGGTAAATAATCGATCGATTTTCGTAAAATAGAAAATTTTTTGATTAATAATTAATTATCGATTTTCATTACAGGTTGTTGGTGTACGTTCTGGAGACGAGGTGGCCCAATGCAAACAAGTATTTTGTGATCCCACATATGTACCTGATCGCGTGAAAAAAGTGGGTCAGGTCATAAGATGTATTTGTCTTTTAGACCATCCAATACCAAATACAGCAGATGCTCTTTCAACACAAATTATTATTCCTCAAAAACAAGTAAATAGATTTATCTTTCATTCTCCATACATCAAGATATTGATTCATTTCTATATTCATTTCTTTTTATTTTTAAGGTTAATCGTAATTCCGATATCTATGTATCTTTGGTATCACATACGCATCAAGTAGCAGCAAAGGGTTGGTTCATAGCTATGGTTTCCACTACAGTTGAGACAAAAAATCCAGAAGCCGAAATCAAACCAGGTTTGGATTTACTCGGATCAATTAAACAAAAATTCATATCAGTTTCTGATTATTTGGAACCAACAGACACTGGTCTGGAAAGTCAAATTTTTATATCAACGAGTTATGATGCCACAACGCATTTTGAAACTACTTGTTTAGATGTTCTTGATATATTTAAACGAGCTACTGGAGAGGAATTCGATTTTAATAAAGTAAAGCAAGATCTAGGCGATGAAGATCAGTAACCATAAGATAATTATTGGTCAGTTTTAAAAATAGTTCATGCTGAATTGAAAAAATGAGCGAATATAATTTAATGTGTGTATATCGAACGTCGGCGTTTATCGAAATCTCGAAAGAGATCAATTAATAAATTTATGCCTAATTCTAGATTCTCTTTAACAGAGAACTTCAATAAGAAACGTTATTAAAAATTTATTTTTCAAATTTATTCCAATCTAATTCTAAAAACTGCCCTTTTTACATTATGTCTAAAGTACACGTGTACAACCATTTTCACAGAAAATGAAGATGTTAGAGCTTGTAATATTTGTCATTTGGATATTCGTCGATAAATTTTAAACAAATTTCAAAATACAAGATATTGTGTGGTTAAGTGTGCCCATGTATTCATCATGGATATAACGTGAATTGAATAAAACATGACAGAGCCGATTATCGTGACTTTATAAATGTATCATATTTTAATTATCAAATTAAAACATAAGAATATAATTGTTTATTGAGATTGTAAATGTTAAAAAGTCCTATAGTTATATTACTATATTGCAGTAGTAAAAATGCGTTACGACACGAGGTACAAGATAGAGATAATTTAAAAAAATGAATTCTACACGCAATTATATAAATAGCATGCCGCAGTATAGAATTAGAAGATCTGTCATATTGATTCTGCACATTTAGTTATGATATTAATATAAATTCCAAACACATACGTTAAAGAATTCAAAGTACATACGTATAAATTGAAACGCTCGCAAAGATTAATTTGCTTGCAATAGGAAATATTACAAAAAATGGATGTCAAAAAAAACGAAAGAAAAAAAAGCGGCCAACCATTAATATATATATTGAATAGATATATTATATATACAATATATATATATATATACTTTCTCATTCTTAAATATGAATGAGAATATAAAAAAAAAAAATGGAATCGTTGAAATGTTGTTATTTTATGTAAGCCTGAGAGCTGGAATATTTCTTTGTCTAATATTTACAAGATCATTAATATAAATTTAAAAAACACATTAATAATTTAAAAAGGATAATTATGTATAGAATTACTTTAAAAATTATTATACGTGTGCACTTGCGTATGCGTGAATGTTTTGTTATTGAGTGATTGGCTATTTTTCAGAATTTCTTATTTCGCTTGCATTTCTCTTCAAACTGTAAGCGCACCGTGAATTTGTATTATGTATAAAATTTATTGAACAAAAAAAAAGTATGTGATTTCCTATTACTTTATCTAAAACGTTATTCACGTAACTGTAATGTGACAGTCATAAAAAAAAAATAAATCGTATTATATTAATTTCATTAATTTGTATTCCTATCTATATTGCAATTCAAAAAATATTTCATATATTTACTTACCGAAAAAATTTAAACAAGTTCTAAAACATAAACATTATTATCCCTGCATCCAATAATTACAACATTATTATTAACAACAGGTGATGAGAAAACTTCTGCAGGAAGTTTTTCAATTTTTATCATTCTATTTTTTATAGAGTTGTAAATATTTAAAGTACCATCCTTACATGCAACAAACAAAAAATTATTTTCACACCAAGGTGTGGCCAAAATTGGCGAATGAAAATTTAATACATATTTCAATGTAGGTTTAGTTTTAAAGTTTGTATCTTTCGATTCTAAACAGTATAAATTCTTATTTTGACTAGCTAAAATAATATTTTCATATTTTTCATCATTTTGTTTCACAATATATGAAAATATATTACCATTAATTTTGTACGTCCACATCTGCAAAATTAAAAAATAGAGAATAATTATGTTTACAAAAAAATAAATATATTTTTATATATTTATTACCTTAACATTAACTTCAATATCAAAACAACATAATAATCCTGTTACAGAACAAAATAAAACGAGTCCATTATTCAATGACACAGGAGCAACAAAAATTGGATCTGATAATTTATATTTCCATACAAGTTTTCCTGATAATTGTTGAAGAGCTAAACAAAATCCATCTAAAGTTCCAAATAATACAGTATCTGATTGAAAGTGTAAACAACCAGAAGCGTTAATGCTTCCATTTCCGAATTTAAATTTCCAAATTTCAGATCCATCCTATAATGAAAATATTTTATTTCTATCATTACTATTATTTTTTTATACTATGCAATTTAATTATAGACATGTACTTTGACTGATAAGCAGTATATGTAACAATCATAAGAACCAACAAATATTATTCCTTTTTCTTTACAAAATATCACAGAATTTTTTACAACATTTCCTGTTTTATAATTCCAAATAAATTTTCCCGTTTTTAAATGAAAACAATATATATTACCATCATAACATCCTGTAAAAAAAAAAAAGACAATATAACAATATGAATAATTTTTATATACATTATATATATTATGTATAATATAATTTTTATATACATTAGAAACTTACCTACTATACCTCTAAAATTATCCAAAATCAGAACTGAAGATTCAATTCTATCAGGTAGCTTGATTTCAAATACAGGATTATGATACTCTTTTTCTAATCCAAAGGTAAAAATAAAACCAGAGTGAGAACCAACTGTTGCATATGTTTTTCCACTATATAAGATATTTATTATTAATAAAATTTTAGAATTGAAAATCATTGATTAATAAAAATATACTTACTCTGAATAACGAAATATAGTTGGTGATGCATCTACACATTTTTTCATATCATATGTCTTTTGTATTTTTACTTTTGAAATTGTATCATATTGTAATTTAAATTCTTCATTTATATCTGATACATACTTATATACTTGTCCTCTACATTTGTACCACTCACATAAATGAATGTCATTTATTTGAATTATTGAATCATATTTTTTGTTTTTTTCATTAGAATCTCTAAAAAATTTTTCATCTTCTATTGTAATAGCAGTGATTAAAGGTAACTCTCTAATATTATTATGAGATTTAAGATTAATTATTCCATTTTGACTATTTAATATAATACTTTTTATATAATTAAGACATTCGTCAATAGTAGAATCCATTAAAAGCATGCCAATTAATTTAGGAAATTCTATGTTTGATATTTCAGACATGGCATTCGATATCTGAAGTGCTACTATAGATGTACCTCCCAATTTTACAAATCCAATATTTTTATGTTGTAGATTATTTTCCCAAATAGATTTAAACGCAACTTCAATTTGTTGTAAGTCAATATTATTTATTACTTTATGTGTTATTTTTTCTTGTATATAATGTTCTTTTGAATGTTTCAAAGAAATTTTTCCACTAGACGTAAATTCTATATGATTCATAAAATGAATTTTATCTGGTCTATATAAAGGATTTAATTTATATAAATATTTCATTATTTTAATATTTATATTATGATAATTAATCACGTCTTTTTTAAGAGAAAAATACAAATGTAAATGATGATAACTATCATCCCATAAGACATAACAATTTTTTACAAAATCTATTTGTAATATAAATTCTTTAAGTTTTGTCAAATCTACTTTATTTCCATATCTTTTTATAAAACTATTCTTTCTTCCTTTGTAAAATATTTTACCGTCTTCGTTAATCTAAAATAGAAATATATTTTTATTAATAATTTCTTTATTATTATGTGTTATTTAAATTTATATAAACTTACATCAACAATATCACCAGAATCACGAAATACTGGTAATTCTAAATCTTCAATATTTTCATCATTCACTAGACACACTCTTTGATTACTTCCTATTTAAAAATATATAAACAATAACAATATTTTTATAAAATTAATAAAATGAAATTAAATATATGTATTATAAAATTACCTATATAAAGAAAACCTGTACCACTTGTTATTACTTCTCCTCTTTTGTTTCTAACTTGAAGCAAAGTATGTGATAATACCTGTCCCAAGTAATGTACATTAAATTGTCCACCTGTTATTAAAATTTCATTAATGCTAGCCCAACAGGATACTTCAGTAATACCATAGATATTATAAATTTTAGTATTATTATAAGGGTGCATAGTTTCAGAAATTACTTCAAGTTTTGGAAAAGGTTCTCCACCAAAAAGAATAGCTCTTAACGAAGTGTTATTACTTAAAATACTGCTTTTTAAAGATTCAGGTGACCAATTATACATAAAAACTGATGGGGTTATTTGTAATATAGTAATCTGACTAGAATAAGCTACTTTCAACAATCTGAAAAAAAAAATGTTCATGTAAAAATAAATTATATAAAATTTATATTTTTATTTCTCTTTCTCTCTATATGTATATATAATTATTATTTACCTATCTGGATTATTCTTTAATGACTTTGAAACCATAAGCAGTGTTCCAGCATTTGAGAGGGCAAGAAAAATTTCAATAATACTAGGATCAAATGTAAAATTTGTAAATTGAGAAATTTTATCACATTTTGTTATTGCCAATATTTTATTCAAATCTAAAATATTAGGAACTATACATGAGTGGAGTACTCTGATCACCTTTGGTACTCCAGTTGAACCAGAAGTAGAAATTGCATAAGCATAACAATTTTGTTTTGCATTTTGTATAACTTGTTTTCGTACATTTTTCAATTTTATAAGATAAATACATTCTCTATGTATCTCAAATTGACAAACAATATCTCCTTCAATATTACTTTGTGTACAAAATAAATAACATAGATTTAAATGATTTTTTAAATTTATAAATTCTGTTGAATCTACAGGTATATTTATAAAACTATGCTTACTATTTAAAATTCTATATAAAAAAATCATAAATAATAAAAATTAATTATTATATTTGTTATATAAAATATTAAATTTTTTTATATAATTTAAAATTAAGTTCCTTACCCAAGTATTAAAGAAATTACACAGTATTCAGGAATATCAAAATTTATACCAATAAATTCAACATTTTGTATATGTTTTAGATAATCAGAAATCATAGATTTCATATGAAAAAGTTCTTTATAATGTATATATATAGTTTCTTGCAAATTATGGTATTCTATAGCCACATTATCAAGTTGATTCCAATTACAAATATCATGTAATTTTTTTGTAAAACTTTCAGACTCATTGGAATAAAATGTAAAATTTTCTTTTTGTTTATCTAAAATAATTATTAATATTTCAATAAGTATTACTTAAAAATAAGTAATTGAATTTTTCAATTATAGTATATTTATACTTACTCATTTTTATTAAATGTTATTCTATATTGATTCTTTAATTCATGAAACAATTTTCTTATTTGTTTTTATCATAGGTTATGTTACATATTTTTAATATAATATATAAATATAAATCATAATTTTTTTATTTACTAATAGTTTTTAATCACTACAATTAATAATATAAAATAATATATAATTTTTCTTTGTTAGAATAAAGATGTACATTGTGTATTTAATTTATACACGTGAATAAAAAAACGTAACACAATATGTATTTGCGCACGCGCGTGCTCTCTCTTAAATGTATATACTTTTCAAAAATGTGAACATTAAACATTATTTAAGGGTGTTACATGTTACAAAGTATGTGAATTTTAATAACGAATCCTAATAATTTTTTTTGTAATAAATTTGCATTTTTTTTTAAACAATTTTTCGTTTTACATTTATAACCTACAATGTAAGCATTATTCAAAATAAAGTGTTAAAAATAGAAAGTAATTTATATTTTATATAAATGAAACAATTTTTATTCAGATCTAATGTACTCCTAAATTCCAATAATAATCATTAAAATAATAATTTGTTTGTTAAATTTCCATTATTACACGCTAAATATAATATTATTTGATATTGTACTAGAAATTTGAAATAAATAAACAATAAACACATTAATACAACTTTTTCTTGGAAGAAATAATCCATTTATGTAATGTAATCACTATTTGGTGCACTGAAAGTATTATAAGTAAAGCATTGTGATCATTCTTATGAATTATCTAAAACAATGCAAATAGTGTATTAACTATTAAATTTTTGAACACACTGGAAATGAATTTTTCAAAAATTAAGAAATCAAATGTTTATGAATATTTTAATCTATTTTTCTTCACACCATTCATTTTCTTTACGAACTTGTTCTTCTTCCGATGCAGAGAAATCATTTTTTATATTAAATGTTTTCCGAATTTCTTCTGGAGTTTTACCTTTTATCATATTAGCAACAGTTTTGCATGTTACATCTAACAATCCCTTAATATCAAGATAATTAGCTGCCAAAATTAATTCAAACAATGTTCCTTGATCAACCTATAAATATGATTCAAATATTTATATAAAAGCAAAATAAATAAATAAATGTGTATTAATAAAAATCAAATATTTACTTTCAAAAAATCTGCATCCCAAGAACTTATATCATCAGTACGCTTCTCTTTGTTTTCATCATCTTCAGGAGGAGGTGGATCATCTTTATGGTAAGTTGCCCACTGTATCACTTTCCTGAGAATAGCAGAATTAACATTTGGAAGGGGAACAACTTCCTCTTCATCCTCATCCATTCCAAGATCTTCCAACATAGTTTTTATTGTAACAGAACATTTTGCAATATCGACATCAACCTCAAATACTTCACCATCGGAGCTCTGTAGCTTGATATTAGGCATCTAGAATAAATTTTGAAGAACCATTTTCAATATACTTATGAATCAAAATATCCTACTTCAAAAAATTTTTTCTCTATAAAAATAAAATATTTTCTAATTTTAGCATTAATATTATATTCTTAATGTTTTTATTATATTCTTATATTTTATTCTTAACATATATATCATAAGATTTATTTATTCTTAGAAAAATATTTTTAAAACTTTTTTTTTTATATATCAATAAGTTATAATCAAATTTAATCTCTTTTTAGAAAGAGAAAGAAACTTCATCAAATAAGAAATGCCATAAAAGATTTAAACGACATTTTCTTGTAACGAATTATGTAAACAAAATATTAACTATTTTAAAAGATAAAGAACAATATTATATATAAGTATTTGTTACTTAAATTTAACTAACTGTCAAATAATCAAATAATCACCGTAAAATGCTTGTTGTAGACAATGTAGAGAAATATCGAATAATTTGCTACACCGCTGATCAGCAGAAGGCACTTGTTCTCCTGCTTTCTATTGCTCCGTTTTTATTCTCTCGCTCCAACTTAATATTCGTTTTCTATCCTTTTCGATGCGTCGAAATCCTATTTACGTCCTTATTCTGCTATTTCTTTTTCCACTTCGTAGTTTCTGGTATGGAGGGAACGTGACTTCCGTATAATACATTAAAGCTGGCGCGAGATGGCACTACAATACCGTGTAATCGCGTAAGAGAATTTGATTCGTTATAGAAGAAAACATTTTGTTAATTTAAGTCATAATAATAAAATATTCAATGAAATGTAATTTATATATAATTATAATATATAATCTTTTTCATATTCAATAGTTAATAAATCAAAATAAAATTACATTCTTATTTAATAAATATATACATAACTACTGTATACAATTTCAAGAACCAATCAATTTTTAAGAATCTTTTTTAAAAAGTTGCATAAGTTCAATATATTCAATTACGAAACACAATTAGTATCACTTATGAAATAAAATTATTGGTAAAAAATGCCAAAAAAATATCTTTGCATAGCTAAAAAGAAATATATTATTTTATAGATATTGTAGAAAATCAATTATCATTTATTATTCGATGAATATGATTTAATAATAATATTTTACAATAAGAAAGTTTAAAACCATATAAAAAAAGGTGTTTAATTTTTATTCGAACCATAGCGTCGAGGAATACATCATCGGATACTAAAATTAAAAAATTATAAGGTATTATATGAATGGATAGAAAAAATTGCACAGTAATTTTCTGCCATAATAATCCATCTGATTTTTAGTAACCGTAATAAAAATAAGGGCGAACTTGACCCCATCATTTCAAACCATAAAATTATGTCCTATTATTGCTCAAACGATTCTTGTTGGAAATCTATGAAAGTTGGAATGCATAAACGACCAGAAGAATGAATCCATGTGGACAAAGATGCTTATATAGACGCCAATAGCCTACGCATAATCCCTTATCCTTTTCTATTATAATCTATCTCTTTTCCCTTTTTTCCCCTCTCTCTATTATTTTTATTTTCAAGTATCTTCTTTATAGAAACAGATGGTAAAAAAAATTAATTTTACTTTATTTTTTATTTTTTCTTATTTTTTATTTTATATTTATAGATTAAAAAGTTGTGAATAAAATATTGTCACATAAAAAATAGAGTTATTACAGGCAAAATATCAACTATGTTACTAGTGATTTGATTACCTTGACAAAAAGTTCATTTGATTTTCCTACCGATCGATTTGTAGAACGAGAAGGTGTTCACGAGAGTTTTACTATCGATGAGTCGAAAGGTGCATTAATTCGAGTTAGTTTGTTCGAAGCAGGCCAAATGTACAAGTCGTAACGTTTCAATCCGTTACATCGAATGAAATGAAGTGAAAAGTTATGAAAAGGCCTATCAAGAAAGTAAAATTGAAAGAAAGAATGAAAGAAAATTCATATTATTTTCAATAAGGATGACAATATAATAGAAAGTATCGAGATATATTGATATATTTATTTTATGTAAAATTATTACTTTAAGATTTATATAAAGTGCTTACTTAAAATGTAAAACAAAACATCAATCCATCGAAATTCACAAATTGATTTAAATTATAATCTATTTTAACATGCAATTATATATATATAAATAATATTCCTTTTTCCGATTCGATGAAACAGTTCTATCAATATGATGAATGTTGAAGAAATATCGAAGAACAGGATCACTAATAATTAAAGAAGCTACTAAAGTTCCAGAAACGAATTTTACATTCAATTCAATATATAAAATAAGAGAGAGGAAAGGTAAACGAGCTTGAGAAAGACAAAGATTATAAACCTTACGTAACTATTAAGGGCAATCGTAACCGCAATAATATTAACAAGATTACTTCTGTTAAATAACTTGATCTGGCCTTTACATCTTTCAAGAACGAATCGTTCGTAAAAGCTATGATTTCCACTCCATCTTTCTCAAGCGTGAAACCTTATTAAAATTTATTTCAAATGAAATCAACTTTTTTTTCTAAAAATCTTACATTTCATTATTTCAATTTCATCTACTGTAAACTAGGATTATTAATGGTATTGTTCTTTTTTTTTTAATTAAAATTATCTTAAGTATTTCTTTTTCTTTTTAATAATTTCTAAGAAACATGAAATACGGCACACGCACATGTTTGGCTGCAATTCAAAGAAGCGAAAAGTTTAAAGATAAAAAAAATAGTGACATCACAAGAAGAAACAAAATCTCTCGATGACGCACATCAATATAGCCAGTCTATGCTACGTAATGGTTGCGGTGATAAATGCCGAATTACGCAGATCCTTCGCCCCGAAGGCGCCACTATGTCTGTCCTCCGCACCTCTTCCAACTTCCTTTTTTTTCTTCTTATTATCAATACATTTTCGAATCTTTTTTTTTTCTTTCTCGTCTACACATCGAATTAGATAATTTCTATTAATTGAGAATCAAATGTTTTCACAATTTTCTTTTGGATGTTCTATAAAAAAAATTATACGCAAGAATGATTGTTATGATTTCATTGAATTGCAGCAACAAAACGAAAAGAAATCCAATCTATCAATGAGACAAGTTAAATTCTTTTACAGCAAATCAGTTTGATTATACATTCGATTATGAGAGTACAGCTGATACAATTTTATAAGTGTAAAGATATAATGGTGATGGTAGAAGAAAAAGAATTAAATCTAAATGCACAACAAGAGTGATGTTTAACCTATTCACGAAACGATATTCTGAACGAACTTTCCTTAACCGCTTGCCATGCGGTAAAAGTAAAGTAGAAGAAGAAGAAGAGAAAAAAAAGAAGTAATAAAAAAAAAAGAAAAAGCGAACGACTGCTTTTTCACATTAAACAGATACCTGCCTGCCAAGTCTTGCCTATCGTTTTAATGAGGCCTACGCGGGCGTTGTGGGTTAATTATTCCTCAAAAAAAACTCGCTGCTGTAATTCTTAACATTCGTTAACCATCGTTGAAAAATTTCCAAGAACATCTTTCGAACAGTGATATTAAATTCCACTGTTTCATTAAAGGTTCGTCAACATTTACGTATAACAACATCTTATCGATCGTTTTTTTTTTAATTCTGTATAACACTTCATAGGTTATGTGTATATTTCGTCGAACATCGATCACATTAGGATGTGTAATAGTTCTCTTTACACACTTAAGCGTAGAGAATCGTGAACAATAATTGAAGAAACTAGAAAATTAAAAAACGAGAAGAATAAGGAATGAAAAAAGGAGGGAGGGGAGGGGGGAGGGATATTTCTCTACGCTGAAATAAGCGTAGAAAGATTTTAATACGCTCAGATATAACAGCGGTATACATTTGGCCATTCGAAAGAGCGAAATTCATTCTTCAGTATACAAATATCAATTGCAATCTCATCTAAAGGTTGCGAAAGCAATCTATCTTCCATTTTTCCTTATTTCGATATATATTGATTTTTCACATTAAAATCATTTTGACAATGGGTATTATGATATGAACAAGCGAGGAAGGATTCGAAGAAAAAAATTTTTAAAAATAGGCGAAGAAACTTTGAAATTTGGAATCATTTAAAAAAGAATTTAAACTTCCTCGAATATTGTAACTGTATATTTATATATATATATATGAATTATTTTATGTTTATCTTGCACTTATTTTTACTTTCGTTCTCAAAATCTGTAAAAATTCAGAAAATTCCGAATTTGTTTCAGGCGAATTTCGAGTAGAAAGAGAGAAGAAGGTATTATTTATTCGTCCATGAATCGAAAGTCATCGTGTTATATCGTGTATCCGTAGAAATCGACGTCTTCTACCCCTTCCACTCGGGCTCCATTCACAGAAGTTCATTCATGAATCTAGATAAAAAATTTCGTCCATTGGAAAAATAGTTTTTCGTGGAATCGGCGGCGGCCAGTTTCGTTGAAAGATTTCCTGTGCGATATCGTTTCAGGGTGGAGACTAAATCCAATGACGTAATGAAACAGGGAGCATATAACGCATATGGGGCGTAACAACGTGGAGGAGGAACACATCGGTGATGCTGGTACCAATAGTGGTGGATACAGCTTTGGTACTCTTGGTGGTACGGAAGAAGAACGTAGAAGAGGGGTGAGTGGTTGCAGTATAAATGTAGCCCGCGCAAGCTCCACCAATCACTCGCCTCTGACCTCCAAACTCTAAGCTCTCGTGGTACCAAACATCCCCTCTTTGTTCAATCGTTCGTACGATCAAGAGACGAGACCAACGCTTTGGCATCGAAACTCGTGCCTCGTGACCACCGCGTGGTGCCATTCGAATCCATCTTCGCCGAGGATCTCCCTATCGTCGAGAATCACCGTTAAATTGGCTTCCACGATTTGAAAAAATAATCGAAAACCGTTCTCCCTTTCGTACGTGACAGAACGATTTAACTTATTTCTTCGATTCGCGATATCTTCCTCTCTTCGTAGACATGGCAACGGTAAGTGTATCCGAAGCATTTTAATTAATATCCGTTTATTCTTGTCCCTTGTACCGTTTTTTATTCTGAGAAATCCATTAGAAAATGAAATTAAAAATTTGACAAAATCTGAGTTCGATCGATTCGAAAATTTCTTGACGAATTTTCTCATCGATGAACGCTCGATATTAATTCGAAGTTTTGTGCACGCGTACTTTCACATATGGATAAAAAGAAATAGAGGTGTGACGAGATATATCCAGTGGAAGCATTGAACTCGAACAGTTCGTCGATCTTCAACGTGTACGAAATTGTCGATTGACTTTTGTCGTAGACGAAATACATAAACGCATAAAACGTTTAATGTTTTTGAAAATCGTATCAATTTCAATAGCACGAGATATGTATCTATCTACTCGATCGAACGAAACATTTCACGATAAGTAATTTACCGGTATTGTAAATATTTTTTAATCGAATTACAAATATTCCCTGTCGCATAAAAAACACTTAATAAATCGAAAGTGATATCTTGTTATCGACAAATTTCAATGTATATATATATAAAGAATCTTGAGAGTTTCATCATGAATTTTCTAACCTTTACGAGTTTAAAAATGTACCGGTTTTAGGTTATCCTCGATTTCCTCAAATTACAGATTTTATCGCTTACCAAACACTATATTTTGAATTAGTACGTAAACGAAATAAGACGAACAACACTGATTCTATATCAAAAATCGAGAAAAAAAATTTGTCAAATTCTTCTCTCGTGAACTTTCCTATAATTTAAAACTATACACTTATACGAATGTAGATCTATTGAATGCAATGTTAAAGAAAACGCAAGTTAGAATTTCTATGTATCACTATCGCAAACAGTTAACAGTTTTTTTATATCGAGAATCTTTTATCCTACAATCAAATAATAATTGATTGTGTCCCTTATGAATTTCACGTCGTCGGAAAAATTGTTATTATTCGATGAAGGAAATTGCCATATACAATCGATCGATTTACTTTTCTCGCCACGATATCTTCAATTTTAAGAGGTGCAACAATTGGACGATTGCGCGTTAAGAGAGAAAGAGAGAGAAGTAGAAACGAAACAGAATAATACAAGAAGGAAAGAAAATCTAGTCACTTCGGAAACATAGAGTCTCGACGTGTCGCCGGCGAATACATAAAATTTCTTGTTTGCAGGAGAGGAGAATATTTACGATTTATCCATAGCGCCACGGCGCCACGGATTTTCGCATACTCGTTATTATATCGCGTTCATGAAGATTCATCAATGCCATCCGTGGTCGGTAGTCGTGTCATCATCTTTTCACGACTCTAATTATCGAATATCTTTCCCTCCTTTTTCCCGGGGAAAGCCGGCTGGCGATAACTATGAATAATTCGTTTTCTCGATCGTGCATTTTAAATAACTATATATATATATATATATATATATATATATATATATATATATATATATATATATATTA